ATCTAATTAAAAACACAACAACATTTCAATTTTATTCTTAATTATTATAAATAAAAAATAATTTTTTTTAAAGTAAATTAATAAGAGTACTTTTTTTCTCTTTTCAATTTAATAAGGATATAATGATCCATTTATTAAAGAAAATACTAACAATCCCTTATATTTAGGAACAAAAAAATTTAAAAGACTTCTTATACATAGAGTTGGGAAAATGGGCCGACTCAACCTCATAGCGCTGGCCCTTGACAAGCTTTGGCCTAAAAGGGCCAGCTCGTTTAAGCTCAAATTTCTTTTAAAATCTTGATATATGAAGCTCGGCCCTCAATATAGCAAGCTCAAGGCCGACCCCATGGGCTCTAGGCCCTTTTAACTATTTTTATTGTTTTTTTAAATTTTTTAATCAAACAAAAAATTACTTCATTATAATAAAATACCTAATCAAGAAAGCTATAAAAAAACTAACTAAATAATATCTAAGTTAATTAAAAATACAAATGAAATGATAGCAAGGCAATAAGCAATGAATTGGCTAAGCCAACAAACATCCAATTGAGATTAAATGAGATTGAGGGACTGAGATATGGGACTAGGAGACTGAGAAAAACAAAGAGTACGAGCACGATGTGTGCATCAAATAGAGCTTAGTTCATCAGTCACGAATGCACGAGTATGATAAGTGACAGGAGGACTTAGGAGACCGATGACAACAAGCATCAACTAGTTGAGCACTATCGAGACTTGGTTCTTGAGAGGAAGAACTATCAAAGTCAGCAACAAGGATGACTGAACAGTTGGCAAAAACAGAAGCAAGTATAACTTGTGAGTTGTGATGACAGGGATGGGAACAGCGATACGATAACTTGCTGAAGAGCAAGGACAACTTGCAGCGGTAAAAAGAAGAGAAGCATATTGAAGAACGAAGAGTAAATGTTGAATTGAATGAATCATTATTGTGAATCTAGATGAATTAGGAAATTTAGGGTTATATTTTTTTTTTAAAAATAGAAACCAAAGATTTTTGTATGAAATTTATATCAATAAAAAAAATATGCGCATGTAGGCTTAAACAGGCTAACCCTTGACCCTTTAGGACTGGCCCGTTTAAACTCTAAATTAAATGAGCTTAAGTGGGTGAGCCCGTTTAAGCTCAATTTACTATTTTGAGATTATATTTATAAATCCGACCTTACTATTACACGGGCTTAAATGACGTAACTTGATAGGCTTGATCTGTTTCTTTGGCTCCATTTATATATAAGGACAAAGGGAGTATCTTATTTAATCATATTGTCAAGGAGACAATGCATGGCTAATTGGTGTCCAATTGTTCAGCTGATGTCTAAACTTAAGTTAGCATCTCTGCTCATTAAGAGATTTCATGTCTGCATGAAAGGTCAATCACTCAGCCATTAATTCCTTGTTCTTAGCGCTCTTATTATACTTGTCATTTTCCTTGTCCCACTTTTCTTTTTTCTTTATATTGTTTATTCACATTTATTTTCTATCTGTATCATTTGTTAAGGCGAGATAATAATATATACCATGAAAAAAAAATGAAAATCTGTGAGGACTGGGGCATTAATTTAATGAAAAAATTAAATAGAACTGATAAAAAAAAAATTTCGCTTGATTTTATCGTTATTATTTTTAAAGATATTGCATTTCGAATCTTGAAAACTGAAAAGCATAATGCGATAGACATACTTCATGTTCCACTGCCGCCCAAAATCCCAGACGCGTCTCAGCCAATCCTAACCGAAACCGTGTTGACATGTTTCTATTTTCGAGAAAAATAGTGAAACATATAATTGTTTCATGACAAGATAATAATCAAATGCAGAATTGCAGATCAATAATTCTTTTCTAATATTTTCTTTTTAATTTTTTTGGCCACCAATGTTTCCCATCTATTATATTCTTTTTTTAAAGCAAAATTCCCATATATTATATTCAGACCTATCAAAAACGAACATCATGATATGTTAGTTAGTTGTGGCCAAAGTATTTTAAATTTTCTCGAATGTGTAGCAAGAAAACAAACGCTTTAGCTTCTAGGCACATGCATATAGTTGACAATAAAGTGGACTTCGACCAAAATTCCCACATCCTAATATATATTATAGCGTTAATCATAATTTATTAATCCTATGTTGAAGCTTTCGAAGCTCACCACCTTTTCATGGAAGCTAATATGGATTATGGAATAAACCGTCAATTATATATATACATACATACATATGTCAATGGAAAAATGAAAATATCGTATTCTTATTCTTTTTTTTTTAAAAAAACTCATACTGAAATCTTTACTAAATTATTAGAGTTTAGAAATTTCGGGTAACTAGCTACGATTGCCGTCAATAATCTACACACATGTCGAGAATTTATATATATACCAATTTTTTTAAGAGTAAGTGAATTTTTTGTCGTATCTCTTTGCATGGATTACGTGCCGTTTATATTCTTTTTTGCTTTCTACGAAGATTGTTTCTTTTAATAATTAATACGGACGCATATCATATATTCCCGCCCATTATAAAATATAAAATATTTTTAATTGAATCTTACCTCTTAATAAAATAGTTACTTATTTTTAAATTAATCTTATTTTTTTATATTTATTTTTATTAAATATCTTATAATAAATATAAAATCATTCATCAATAAGGACGCTTTAAAAAAAACAATGATTATGCGTTACAAGATTAAAAATACTTTATATTTTTAAATATTCAACTTCTCAAAAAATATTTTATATTTTTAAATGAAGAGAATATATACTAATCGCTACAGTGAGTTATAATATCAATATTGAATATTCAGAGTGAAGTTGCTTCTTAATGGCCAACTTGCGCTTTGCATGTGCTCCATGATTTGAAAGCAAACACTATGCCTAAAATATATACGAAGAAGATTTCTCTTTCTCTTTTTCTTTTTTTTTTCTTCTCTGTGACCAGGCCGGCGAGACAGTATTTCAGATTGAGTACGTGAATATATATATACATATATATTTGTTTTTGTGAGAAGTCAATCATTTCCTTGTTTTATGGCAGCTTCACACACACACACACACACACACACACAAAGCAATTCCTAAAAAAAAAAATCACATCAATAATTCTCACCGTGTGAATGACCTTTGAGCGACTTCAAATCTCTGGGTCATTTAACGGACAACAAATAATAATGCTGCATTTGCTTGTAATTCTTCAAAATAATGGGAAACAAAAATCTATATAGATCGTCAGGCATACATATCAAATGTGGATCTGCTTCCCGGAAAACTTGACAAAATCTATTGCTGTTTATACTATATCCTATTTATATATTAGTAGGTTCTCTTTAATTAGTAAATAGAGCGATCTAATAAATATAGTCTTCACGTTCTATGTTGATGCACATAATTAAATTTGGTTATCATTGTTTAATCTCTTGCTAGGTTTTCATATGTGATATCACGGGCCCACACGAAATATTAATATTACGTCGTACGTGAACTTTGTATAGAAGGCTGATGTAACCTCAAAATTTACATTTTGGGACAAATTAAAACATGCATGTTAATGAATAAGCCTAGTCATTATAAACCTTAAAACTGAAGTATACTCCCATATATAAACAAATATATCTAGATATATGATTGTTTCCCATAAATTGCATGCCCCGAATATGAAAATGAGAATGAGCTGCTCATATTTTTCATGATTTGTTTACAGTGGAAGCAATATTTTAATATCTCATTTTCTATCATACTCAAATTCAAATATACTCTATACTTACCTCTTTAAAGAATCCGTGCATAAAAAAGAATCCAATTGACAATCCATATGAGTAAACCCATGTCACAATACTTAAAGATTTGTGGGTTGAGATGCTAAGGGATTGAGGATTTTAAAGTGGTCCAAGTTTATCCAGGAGAGGTGTTGAAGAGTTTTACCTAAATCAATACCCTATAACAGTAAGACATGAGGATCTTTGAGATTAGGAGCACATGAATCCCCCCATGATATGTTGATCTCTTTTTATGGTGATTTGAATTTTGTTTTGTCATATTATTGTGATAGATTGTATGCGATCTTTTGTTAGATCCAATCTTGTAGATATTACAAGTCTGTTGATATTGATACGAGACTATATTTGATTTGGGGGTAGGCTAGCGTGCTAGAGTGGGACATTTTGGTGGCACAAAGCATGCGTCAATTTAGGGAATATATGGTGTGAGTCATAACGATAAGGGTATATGGTAGTGTTTCCAGGGCTTAATTTCCATCTTGGCACATCAATTCCAGTTTCCAGCATATCTTTTTGCTCCCTTAATTTCTTAAGAAGCGACTCAGAATGTGATTTGTTCACACACACGCACCGCGTAATTATCTGTGAATGATCAAAGATTCAATAGAGAAACTTTTTGAGCAGTAGTGTGATGATTATGCCCATAAAGTTGGCAAAAGCAAAATTGTGTGTGGTTTTTTTGTTGCAATCTTTGAAAGAGAGATTATTTCTTGCAAGCACGGTACTCTTGCTTTAAATCGTGCTTGCGTAGTTGGTGACGACTTCAAAAGGTTCTCAACTCCAACTTCTATTTTTTGTCTCCCCATATATAATAACAATCCTTTCTTGGAGCTCAAGAGCTCTCATCAAGTCTAAAAACCCATAAAGTGAAAATAGAAAATTAGAAAGTACAGTTTTAATTTCAAAACCCTAATTATTGACATTTTGGCCCTCTGACCCACCCCTGCACTGCATGATCTCCTATTGATCCGCCTTCAGAACAGAAATATGTTAGACGTCGGCTTGGCTTGTGGAGGATCCGCCGCCAACGTCGGCAGCCCAACCCACCTTCTTTGGCCGCTTATCTCGCCGGCTCCATTATTGCCGTGGCCGTTGACGTCGCTAAATTAAAGGGCATGTTCACACAGTATATTTATATATATATATATACAATTATTTACTCGCTCAAGGACATAAATATGGGACGATTTATGGAACAAAATAGCAAGTTAATCTTAATCATATATATTATATATAGAACTTTTAATTGACAATACAGTGAAGAATTTCCATTTCCAATAACTTTACAGAAAAATGAAATATTTGAACTATATCTGACTAAACTTCACACTTCAAATCCGCAATGGACCGAGTGCTTTTCTGTGTGTCTCTCTCCGTCTACGTACAACTGACGGTAAAAGATAAAATAATGATAAAAATATTCTAACACTCCCCGAGAATAATCGGGAGGGAAAAAGAAAAAAATTGCATGCGTTCACACCAACGACCACGTGACCAGACTATCGTTCTTCTTGCTCACAAACACGTGAGGATAGCCGGAAAACCCATTTGGAGAGTGACCTGGTTTTTGAACTTTCATAACTCTGACGCTGAGCTCCGCCTGATGACTCGGCAACGAAGCTCTTCAATCGCTTGATAGCTAAATTGAGAGTGTCTCGTGACAAGTTGGCGAAGCAGACCCGGAACCAGCCTGGTTCGGAGCAATGGAAGGAGGAGCCGGGCGAGATGTTTAATCGGACTTGGTACACTATCTTCTTCCACAGCTCCATCTCTGCGTCGAAGGTGTTGGACTGTAAAAGGTGTCTCATGTCGACCCAACAGAATAGTCCAGCATTGCTGTTGAGGCAGTTGATACCTGCTTTCTGCAGGCCTGAAACGAGCATGCTCTGGCGTCGTTTCAGCCTCTTCTGGTTCTTGGAGTGGTACTTCTTGGTGAATTTCTTATCTCCGAGCAAGGCAGAGAGGAGATACTGAGTCTGCGAAGAGATCAGACCGAAGCTGGACATCCTTGTCGCCGCGGCCACCACGGTGTCGTTTTCAGAGTAAATGGCGCCGACACGGAAACCCGGCAAGCCCAAGTCTTTTGAGAGACTGTACACGACGTGAACTCTGTCCCATACATCAGGGTGGGAATCCTTGTGGTAATTTCTTTGCTTCAGGATTTCCATGACGCTGATGAAGGATGGCGAGCTAAAAACGGTCCCGGAATAAATCTCATCGCTTATCAAGTGAATATTTTTCTCGTTTATAAAGTCGACGAGGAGATTCAATTCATCCTGAGACAATGTCGTGCCTAATGGGTTTGAGGGGTTCGTGACAAGCACGCCTTTCACCCTGAGGTTGCGCTTTTGTGCATCCTCGCAGGCCTGTCGCAGCGCAGATTCAGTGATTTGGAAGTTATTGGAGCTCGTGCATTGAATCGGAACGATCTCAACCCCGGTTCGCCACTTGAGATCTCTGTCGAATCTGTAAGCAACACATCATATATCAGAGACAATGCATTGGGGCTCAAGAGCAGTAGAATACAAAAAAAAAAAAATGAAGATGGTAAATGTATATGTACTTACGCAGCGTAATATGGGGTGGGAATGAGAAGGGCGTCGCCTTGTTCACCGAGGCAGAAGACGAGGGTCTCGTTGGCGGAGGTGGAGCCGGCGGTGAGGACGATGTGGTCGGGGTCGAAAGTGACGGTGTTTCCTCTAATCTCGGCCATGAAATCCACCAATGCGTTCTTGAAAGCAGGGAGACCATGGTAGTCTTGGAAGAGAGCGAGTTCTCTGAATATGGATTTACCATCTCTCTTGAGTCCAGCCGCGTCCGGGTTCTTTTCTAGCCATGACTCCAAGAGATCAAAAGACAGCTGTTGAACATAATATCACAAAGTCAGACCACCACCTTAATTATCACTTACGTATATTATTAACAAAGTACGATCTTGCTTAAGACGTAGACATTGCAAATTAGTACATTTCTGGGCTTCTTTTGTTTCTTTTTTTTTCTTTCCAATTTTATGGGGCTGCTGATATATGCAATGCGTATATAAAACCAAAGAAATAATATAAAAAAAGGTCTAACCTGATTCTCTGCGAGACCCATCTGAATAATTCCTTCGGGGTTCATGACCTCGTCGTAAGGGTTCTTCTCGTATTCCTGCCATCCCAGGAAGTATGAAGAGTCCTGGCCGTGACTATTGCACGCGGCTTTTGTGGACAACAGCCTCATTTTATTTCCTGGGTGTAAATTTCTGTGTTTGTGGGCTTGTGTGTGAAGAAGAAGAATATATATAGGCTTAAACGTCACAAGCTGTATGGAAGAAGACGAAGACTCGAAGAGAGAAGATGAGGGGAGGGAGAGAGAGAGGGACAGGGAAGGCAATTTGTCTGAAAATGTTGGAGTGAATCTTTTGAACACGGGTTGTGTTGGTGATTCAGCGCCGAGGCTTTGGGGGTATTTATACATGGAATTCGCGAGACAAGAGTGCCACGTGTAATACTTTTGACCAAAACCACTAGAAAATGAAAAGAAAAGAGAGAAAAGCTGGTTTGCTGCTTCAAAAATTAAAATAAAATAACTGGATGATGAGGAAACATTGGTGTTACTCAAACGCGCTTGAGCACCGCCCCAAACATGTCACGGGAAGCGCACGCTCCCGCGTCGCAGTCAACTGATCGTCGATCAGGTGCTATACTACTAACTTGAACGAATAGCAAGTGTGTCCCACCGTTTGGAACACTCGCGTGGGATAATGACCTCCTGGCGGTGGTTATGTGCTCATGTTTAAAAACAAACCACCAAGCTTACTCTAACTGGCTTTATGCTTTGTCAATGACAGAGGGAGGGAGATTAGCAGGAACCGTGTCCCTCTTAATTTCTTCAAAAAATTTTATATTATATAAATATTATATTCTTTCAACTCTCTTAAAATTTATAAAATAGCATATATATATATATATTTTAATATTGATCTCCTTTATTTTTAAATTCTGACTCTGCCCTTGTCCCTCCCTCTACACTAATATAAAGATTTAATTTTCAGCTACTATTGCATTTGAGTCTTGACAATCAAATATATATATATATATATATATATATCATTACCAAGTCGCAATCTAATGAGATTTCAAAAAATTAATATAATAATTCGAATTAGTCGTCTTAAGAAGGAGAGGGCCATATTGATAGCAAAATTGAGACGAAATGGGTCGGAATGAAGAGTGGGATTATGCTATCGATGCAGTGGCCGCACCATGGTCCATATGTCCTCTACTTACTCCAACACCCCATCCCTTTCTGTCGGCATTGTAGTTTTTTCAACTTTCGTAATCATTAATTTACATGCCTGCTTCTATTTATTGTACCCCCTTTAAACCTCTAATACCACTTTCAACCCTTGTGTTTAACTCATTTCACCGTCAAGTTCAGACAAAAAGACATATCTTGTGCAACAATATAATAGAATGTATGACGCACATATTTGGATACGTTTTATTCACCTCACTCTCTCTCTCTTCAATCAGCTCTCTACGTTTACTTGATCAACGAGACATGTTTCAACATTTCATATCGTTGACCCCAACTTCATTAGGAGTAATTCAAATACTATACATCTTTGAAACGCTATAACTTGGTTTGACTTATAATCAAATGAAATGAAATTCGGCACGATATATATCTGCTGTTCCGCCACCCTGATTTTGGTTCTTCACATGTAAAAAACAAGGTGTTGCGAGTCTCATCACATTCCACACCTAAATCTCTTAATCGACAACAACTTAGTAAGATCCTAACGAGCCAACGAGTAACCTTTTTCGCTGGTTCCAAGTCAGAATTTTGGGATTGGAAAAGTGGGAGACAGCACGATGTGTTACGTGGTTGAAAGTATAAATTTGTCAATTAAAAAAATTGCAAAAACAACATACTATATAATATAATACTTTGCGAGATACAGACTTTATACGTAAGCATATCTTTCGAGGAATATATCATATCCATTGATTGGTCAAAGTTAGATGCTAATATTGAATAATGATATTATCACCAATTTACCAGCATATACATAGTGGGTTTGTACCATACTATTATAACAAAGCACAAGTATGTGTTCAGATTCAAAAACGCGAGAAAGCGGGGTATCGTGTTAAGGTTCTCACCTAATGAATTAACGTATTTTATATATGTTCTCGACCATTTTTTTTATTCCTTTTAAATGATTGATGTATAATAGAGGAAATTAAACACGATACCAATACCGGTTCTTGATATTCTTTTATATATACCTGTGAGATTATAGTTGAAATTGAAACATATGATGTGTTTGGTGATATGAATTTAATTAATTATAATATGAGAAGAAATTAAAGATTCTCAATCAGGTGGTTCGCAACTATGTGGCCCAGCAAGAAAAAAATATAGAGTTGAAGAATGAAGAGAGATGATGGCATCTACCACACCACATGGACATGGTTGGTTTATTGACCTTCCCATAAATCTCTTCATATGAGAAGGCCATCAGGCACATATATAAAAGTAAAGTAATTTTATAATGTAACTAAATTAATTAAAAGGAAAGCAATGTTTAATTAATGAATTAATTAATATAATTGTAAAGAGGTTGGTAGATTCAAAGGGGTTGAAGGAAAGCAATAATAATTGCCCCAAACTAGTAAAACAGTTGAGGCCGATCGATTCCGCCCTTAGTTTTTTAATGTAGCTACCTGATTTCTGGATATTCAAATGGATTATGGGTCGCACTCACATGGGAGGGAAGAGAAGTAAGAAAGCGAAAATAAAGTGAGAAGATCCAACAAAAGAAAAGAAAAGAAAAGAATCCAACCACGCTTTTATTAGCAGATACAAACTAACAAACCACATATATAGATCGAGTTGAGTGAAAGCGTTGAACCAAATGTAGCTAATAAAGTGAACAAGGTGATGTTAGATTTCTTATATTAAATATGTTTAAAGATAATATATTTCACCAAAATAGCTTAAGTCATTTAATTAGATACTTCCTAATGTTTTTATATCATGATCCATTTTTTAATCTTTTAGATGTGAGACTTCTTTTTACACTCTAATAATTAATATGATATTATTAAATTATGTCTTTGTTTGACACGATGAATAATGAAAGCTTAATATAGAGTGCTTTTGTAGAGTCCAAGCAAAAAGATCAAGTTAAACCCTAGCTATCCACCGATCCCCGCTCACTGATTTTCATGGCCCATTTAATTCTCTCATGGTTTTATCATCCTGCTCTCTATTTACTTTCAATATTTTATATGACATCCTTATTGTGATCACCAACGTAACAATGAGAGACAGCTAATGATGCACATATGTAGTATGATATTAGTTTTTTCTGGCGTTTCGAGGCTGATTTAGGTCGTGTCCAAATATATTAAAAAGCAGAGAGACCAGCCACAAGTTAAAGACAAAACGCAATGCAATTTGTTATGTATGTTTGTGTATATATATTTCGCGTTTTATGGGGAATCATAAAAGTTCTTTCTTACTTTTTATTGTCGTGAAAAGCCCCTTTGTTTCTCCACCTTGCTCTTTTCTTGATGTCGTACACTTTCCATATATTTATCTTTAGGATGATTAGTTTTTAATTATGTAGAACCCAAATGAACTCAAGTTTGCTTCACTTGTTAATTACTATTCATAAGATATGTATTTTCATTGGGCGTTGTACTCTTCTATATATTATATATTATATCTATCAGCGAAGACATCGTTCAAGGTACTAATTGTACTATTAATTGTACTAATACACACACACACACACATATATATTCAACGTTAAAACTTAAAGCACGTATTGACAGTAATAAGAACATGAACTGTAAATTTCTTTCATTAGCAGACTCTGATATCCAATTCAGATTCTGCAAGGGGATAACTTTCTAAATCTTAGGATAAAACAAATTAAAAAATATGATCCTTGTGGCCGAAATTTAAGGAAATTTTTTTTAGAATTCCAATGTAATATATCATACATATATTCGGTTTAACGGAAAATACTGCATTAATTAATAAAATAATTGAGGCTATTTCTTGGTTGATGTATACTAAATTAATTAAACGACATACCCACATAGAATATAATAACAGGTTCCAGAAACTGACCCCATCAGCTAAACTACAAAGGAAAAAAATTGAAGAGACCGAAGCATCTATTTGACTAACATGTTGATATATGAAGACAAAACCCTTAATTAATTTGGCATTAATTAGTGGGTACTGCTAATTATAATGGCATTGTCGTCTAAATTGATGGACAATGCATCAAGGAGGGGTGCCCCATGTAATCCTATTGAAGCAAACAGCAGCAAGAATGGTCCCTCATCTGGGTAGAACGATCTGATTGAAACATTTTATCTGTTGCAGACATACCACCACTTGAAACACAGTTTCTGAAACACCACCAAGGCCAGAAATGAAAGCCCTTGAGCTTCGTTAGCTCACACAACTAATAATATCTTCATTAATATTAGTACTACTAACTTCTTGGGAATGTGGAGCGACCTCCCAAAAACAAGAGGAAGAACAAACGAGCAATTGTAACAAAAAACACATTTTAATTCAAAATCTCAAATTTTAATTAGTTTATGAATCATTTTATTTTATTATATATATTACTCTAATTTGTCTTAGTTTATAAGATATTTTTAGAGTGTATTTGGAAAAGATTAGAGAATAATATTGGAAAAGTATATATTTAATGAAACCTTATTTTTATCAAATTATTTTATATTTTGAAACACCATATCATCACCTCCAAAATTATCTTCTTACAAAGCGGGAAAGTGGAATTACTTATTAAGCCCGTGTCCAATAATCATCATGTATATGTAATAACTGGTTAAAATTAGAGATTGATCCATGGAGAGAGAGCCACAATAATCCAAAAAAGTAAGAATTATGCATAAATTGAGTGAGGAATGAAGGGTGCATTGATTAGAATGAAATGGTGAAGTCACTATCTAGGAAGAAGGTGAATGATGAATTAAATTAGTGAAGAGAAAAAGAGAGGAAAGAATTAATGAAGCGATTAAAGGGAGAAGGAATAAGAACAAGAGGGAGGGCACGTGGTGTGTAGTGAGGAAGAGGTTATGAGGGCATGTGAAACCCTCGTTTAAGTGCCTCCCAGAAGAGACTCAAGAACGCAAACATGGACATTTAGTACAAGGGACCATTGGAGGCAGTGTCCAACGTGACAACTAACATGATCCTCACGTACGTTAATGACTTGTGTAGCAGACACAGCCCATCTATGGACCACTTTTGTTCCCTATTCCTTCAATGCCTCTGGCTCCACCTTCCCAACCTTCCTTGTCTTTCTCACTCTCCTTCTCTATCACCTTTGTACATATGTGCATGAAACACGCAATTTCACACTACTCCTTCTTCTTCACTTTCCTAAGAAGATCTCTCTACCTAGATATGTTCTTTTTTTCTAAACTAGGACTTGGGTTATATGTTAACCCTGTGATATATATGATCTGTTTGGATTGTGTTGGACCGGAAAAAAGTGAAAGAAAATACATACTTTAATGATCTGCGCAACTTTTCTAGCTAGCTGTAATTATTAAAACATTCATATGTACTGCAAGCTAATGAGAAGAGCCGAGAAAACATTTTTCAGAATTTAAGCACAAGATTCATATATGTATATGGGTGTCTTTATATATAATTGACACATGAATTAGAAAAGAAAAAATGTTTGCAGTTCGTAGAAGTAAATGGATCTTGTATATTACTCATTCAAATCCTATTTATAAACTAGAGAGAGAAAAATATTTTGATCCTATTTATTATAAGGCATGTATTGACTGTAGGTGAAAAAAATATATTATTAAAATATATATATTTAATATGGTTAAATTAAAAAAATTTTTAAATTTTTATGAAGAAATATTAAATTTTAATATTTTTATTGTTTTTCATGAAATAAATTAGAAAGAATTTATAAATAAAATTGGAGGTATTAGTTAATTATAATCCAGGCCACTAGTTAGAGGGCCACTAGATTTCTTGCATGGAAAGAATATACTGAGACGGATACGGTGTGGAAGTCGCCGACCACATATATTAATCCACAATCGTGACAGGAAACGTCGCTGTACCTGCAGCTCTTTGAATTTTTTCACATGTCAATTGAAATATATATATATATATATATATATATTAAGTGACTTCAAATTTACCATTAAATTTCATCTTTACGCTCCCGTTATGAGAACTCTTGACAAAAATGTATGTACTTTTCTTGATCTTATTTATAAATTACATTTTAAAATGTTCATTTTAATTTCATTTATAAATTACAGTGTAATTTTTTAGATGATATTTAAAAAGTATTTTTAAATCTACCCTTCATAAGAGAGAGAAAATAATATAGCATTACTTTTTAAATTTATTATATAGGGATATATTTAAAATTTTATATACTTTTATTCCTTATACTTTTTTGCATTGGTATTGATAAGATTAATAGAAATGACTTATAAAAAAAGTTGGAGGAGTATCTTTAATTTGTTGCCAAAAAAAATTAATTAAGAGACAATATCTATATAATAGTACACATCAATGTTGGAACTTGGATAATTAATGAAAGAGAGGGAGGTACATATTCAATAAAAGCTAAGGAATTAGAAAGTACTAATTGGAGCTCATCGATCAGGTTAAATTAGTTTTTCGATGCTAAAGTCTCTTATGTTGATGAATCATATTTATGTTTAAAATGATATATCAAATTTCGTAATTTTCTTATAGTATCATTTGTTCAGAGATACATATATTCTTAGAATACTGTAGACAGTTATTGAACTTCAACTTATACAATGAAATACTAAAATTAATTGAAAAAATTATTCCTAAATATTAAAAAAATAACAGAGTGCACGGATTAAAGGATTGGGTGTGGAGTTAAATAAGTAAAATATTAAATTGATATTTAATATCAATGTCAAAGTCAAATATCAAGTTTACAGTAAATCACACACTAACAAGGAGTCATGGACAGTATGAATCGTTTTTCAAACTTCACGTCATGCATGGGATTTAATCCACTTATCCACCAATCAACCCATACATACATCCATAGACACAAGGCTATAATTAGTTAAGTTTATGGAAATGAGAGAGTAGTATAATTAATAGGGAAACATGAAGGACCATTTAAAGTTTAAACCCGTAAAGGACGGTTCGATATATTTGGGACGTTGTCTTGTTACAGTCATGCAGGCCGTTTCAGCATCTATCAAGAATGTAAGACTCTGTCGAGTCACCATCGCCTCCAAAGTTTAATTGTTGAGATCTTTTTAATGTATATGCATGGTAGCTAGGCAATATTTATTACGACATTTTATAAAATTACAGACAAATAATTGAGAATAAATGATAAAAATCCGTCACTTTTCATACAGCGAGTCGTTCGAATCTTTAATCTTGCAGGTCAAGTTCATATGTGCAAATACATAATTCAATCATTCATAGATAATTAATACGCCAATTAAACAATTCCATCAATTCAGGTTAAAAAAATCCTAACAATAAAAAATGCTTCATTTATTATTTTGGTTGCACATGTCCAAATCAAACTAACTCCTGTGTTTTCATTCGTGCTTATTGATTGGTGAGAAGCTTATACATTTCTCACAGTCAATTATTCTATACTCCTCAATAATTATCTTCGGTGATTAGAATTATAATTATCATCAAAACTAAATCAGATTGATAGATTCAACTGAAAAAAGTAAATCAATTTTTTGTCTAATTTAGAAGAACTATGTAAACTTTGTCTCCCCCCCCCCCAAGAAAAAGAACTATGTGAGCTAATATCCCTCGGAAATTTTCAAACTAATGGAGTTGAACTTGTTAAATTCCCACCAAAATCGTGTGCCCAATCAATTGTTGAGCCAGTGTTTAATTTAAAACTAATTGTAAAGTGGTTTGATGCTTAGACTTTTATTCGCACTTGCCTCTTCTGCACTCTTTAATTGATCATATATCTGATAACTGCATTTTTCCTTTTAATATTTATTTTCGTTCAGGGGTTAACATGGTGTATGGTTGCGTTATTTTTCAAACTCTGAGCCCTTTTTTTTTTTTAATACAATCTGACTCTAGTATTCGGCTCAAAAATATCTGATTCTGATCCTTTTTTAATGTAATGAAGTGTTCAACAAATTAAAAACCATAGCCCTTTATCTTTAATTTGCTAAAAGCCCAGCCCTCTCCTCTTGAAACTTAAAAATGCCCAATGTTTATTGGGCCGAATTACAAAGCCCAACCTGAGAAAACAAAATCAGAATCCATCAGCTGCTGTACCCGTTTTCCTGCCCAGTCCTTACACCTAAGGTACATTGGGCCAGTTTCTTAGATCAAGCTTAAAAAAAATAAAGCTTGTTCAATTAAACTTATATTTATAATTATTAGAATCAATATTTACAAAGTATTTTTACTAAAATTTTTAAAATTTTAACTGTCATAAAAAATGAACGTTTGAGATTTAAGTTCCATTTCGCTGTATGTTATTGTTATGCTATTTTTAACTTTTTAAACCGAAAAGAAAAGAACAGGGAACTGGAAAAGTATATATATATATATATATATATATAAACAGAAAGATAGAAAGAAAAGAAAATGAACACCAGAACTAAATAATAATAAATCGATCAAACCACTTTAGAAACTGAGATCCTACAAATACCTAAATGAATTGGCTTGCACGTGCTGCACAATGAAATCACTAACAATGCATTCTCATAAAGCCACCTCATAAATGTTTAACTGTTATGAGTTATGCTCTTATATCCAGCTATCGGGACGTGGGTTAATTACCTTCTTGTTTCTTTTTCAACCTACAGGCTTTTGCCTTCATTTGTAATTAAAAAATATATATATTGCAACACCACAACAAAAGTTTTTCTTTGGAAAAATATCATATGGTGACATGACGTTAACATGCATTAGCCAACTTCTGTTAAACTTGGAGAGTTATAAGTTTTGTTTGAATAAAAGCGTATAGCCCGTAACAATTTTAACTGCCTGCACTAAAAAATATTACCAGTCAGAGACTGGATACTAAGAAGATGAAATACAATTCTTTTATCCTTTTCTTCTTCCCTTCCGTTGCCTTGTTAACTATGAGGATTGATAAAGAAAACAGCGAATAATTTGTTAATGAATTTACTTATCAATGGTGTGAACTGAGGTGGAATATTTGGCAGAATGGCTTGTATGACATCTTTGATGCAGCTTGCTCAAACCTGTTGCTGACAGCTTCATTTTCCAATAAGCTTGTTTGGGTGAAAAATCGGGTCCACCAAGATGTACTTCGCATTTTGGCCTTCAGAAATGCAGAAATGTTAAATTGTTTGCAATCATTAATAAAATGACCTTCTAAAACAATGAACTTCAGAACATTGGTAAACTTAATATAAGGTCAATAGAAAGCCGCTTCATTTAATCTGTTCTACAAGATTATCGAAATTTCCAGGCAGAACAGAAAAAAACCACACTCAACTAGGACCATAGATGTATTCTACTTTGGTCGATTAGTATTGTGACATTAGTAATTAAGAAGGGATATCACCCGTCGGTTTTAAATAAGTAAATAAAAAGGTTGGCAAAAAAAAATGAATAAATAAAAAGGAATCTAGCTTCTGATTAATGCTTATAACCATCAAATCTAATACTAGCGCTTGTGGAATAATTTCAGAAAACAAAATCCTCCCCAAGTCATAAGCAGGACGTCGTAAGACAAAGGATTTCAACGGACAAAATATATATCTTACATAACATGCAACAAATAATTGAACTCCCATATGTATTATTAAAGAGCCAAAGAGACACTAGGCAGCAAGAGAAGGCTATTTACCGGCCGGCCGAATTTGGCCAATTGCGCTACTTTAGCACTCTGTTGACCAGGGTAACCTACACATAAGAAGAGCCAGTATTGGATTAACAGAAAGCTCAAGTCCAGCAGGAAGAACAAAGTATTGCTTCAATTGTTGAAAAATGTAGAAACAACCAACAAACAGAAAATAAAACTCTCAAACAAAAATTTAAGTAGGTGGCAAATAGCAGCGCAGATCATAGCTATCATTTAAGTGAGAAGAGCTGTAGAGGGAGAGATAAATATGACAAATGAGAAGCCACACTAGGATGGGAGATCAAAATTTTATTATCATCAAGTACCTGTGAAAATAACAACACCATCAGAAGATACCCTTGCCAGTTCAGGAAGAGTTTTGTTCAAATTTTTCGGAGATAAGTAATCCAGAGCATCTGAGACAATAACATGAGAGAAAGACTTTGCCCTATATGGTAGAGAGAACTTGATATCTGCAACCCGTACAATGCCTGTCTGCACTAGAGCCTTGCAGTTCCTATTAACATCCTCCTCAATGTCATATGGCTCCACACCCCATGCTTCGGTTTCCTCTTCTCTCAACAAATTGGAAACCACTGAACAACTATCAGGGCCCACGTGCAAAATTTTTTTCATGTTATTTCCATATGATTTCTTTAAAACAGGAATTGCTCTTTGTACTTCAGCAGTGCATGAAAAACCGTCACCTGCATGATGACCCATCGTTATTAGAGGAGATGATGTTTGTGGGCTCAAGGCTGTGAGCCATCCAACAAAGGGGAAAGGAACAACTTCAGTTGTGCTCACTAAGCCAAACCACAATTCGGCAATGGTTCAATATTGATCCAAACAATAACTACTAGTTCATATCATATTAGGAATTCTACATTGGTCAATTTTAACATGTGGGACATAAATAAGGCACATAAAGCTTCTCAGAGAAAATACACCGCATAATGTTCTTTTTGAAAGGAGTGAAGGAAATAAATAATAGAATGACAGAGAAGAAAATGCAGTTCTCCAGGGATTTAGAATTTGCAATTAGTGGGAACAGAAGAAATGTTATTGAAGAATTTGTGGTCACGTAAATTTGGAATAATTTGTATAAATAGAGTCATATTGCAAATGAATAGGGAATATTATGTCCCAATCAGAATTAATAAGGTCACAATATGCAGAGCATAAGGCAATGAATAGGGACTGGCGTGTTGGCGTCACAGGATAATAAGCATATTGCAAAATGAGATTGTCCAAATTCCAAACTCAAAGATTGGTCAGAAAAAAAGAAGAAAAGAAAGCACTAGGCATCCTCCATTCTCAAGCATAAACCCTACATGTAATTTGATGGCTCACAGCAATACTGCAAAACAGTTATATTGACAGTAGCTGCTCACAAATGGAGATGTGGGTGCAGATGAATAATGCTATCCACCCAAGGGCCTCAATTAAAACTTCTGCTCTCAAAACACTCGCAACATCACCAGTTTTTAAGGACTATTGGGGCAGATTATGGAGGTAGAATTTTACATTGTCTTGAGTCTTGACATTAATTGCTTTGGCTTTTTCTTTTTCTTTTTGTTTTTTTTTTTTTGGGGGGGGGTTTGGTGGGGGTGGTGGGAGTGAAAAATCAGTTAAGGAAATTGCAGCAAAGGGATCCAGCAGATTCTTTTCTAGCCTGAACTCTGAAAACATTATTTGATCAAATATCCAATGGCTGGTTATCTATACTGATATTCAATGGTATAGTTTTGCTGAAACCGGGCATGAATGAGTGCAATCAAAACAATTATAGCCCTCAGTTTTCAGAGTCCATATCATGAAAATTTCTCCTGTTCCAATGGCATAGATTGATACGAAGACTCAAAATAACGGTTAAGGACCATAAAGATTCTCAACCACCCCTAAAATAATAAATTGAAACTTAAAAGGGAAGGCAAAATAATAGGTAAGTTTACCTATTGATTGTTTCCATCTCCAAATTATCAATATTCATTACCTAAATGGCATAAGTCACAATAAAAAAGGGATAGCTTGGGTACGGATGCAGCCAAATCACATCATTATCTCTCAATACCTTCAGCATATTAAATCGTTTTTCCCCTTTTGATACAATAGTTCACAACTGCGATTTTCCCCTCAATTAACAGTTTACAGTTCCTAAGATATCTGCAGATTCTAGCAAAGGATGCACTTACCACTGAAGAGGTCCCCCTAATTTAATGTAAAATGTACCCCAAATCGATAAAAATTTGTCTGGGTTCTATTTACTATGCCAACAAGGAAGCCAACCCTCACGCCTTCGCTTTCCATAAACATCATGACCGCTGGAAAAGAAGCTGAAGGAGAAATCTACAGATTTTTTTGCTAGAATCCAAGGAATATGTTTCTCAGACATGCCTATACTAGCTTTTCTATAACATGAAATTTTACTAGCATTGCTTCCATTCCACCTAATTTTCCTCTGTGCAGGAACTCATGTCTTTTATGAAGCCAATAGCTAGAACTTAATAATAAATACACAAATAAATATAACTTTCCTGAATCAGCCTAAATACACAAACATGATGAGCTCTTACCTTCAACCATGCTGACATCTTTTCTTCTTCTGCCTAATAGACCTGTAAATTTTCAAATGTAAGATTATCTAGACCATCAACATGCGTGAAAATTAATAAATATTTGAATTGTGATTTGAAAGAGATGTCAATCACCTCTAATCAGCATAACATTACTTATTAACAAAAACTGGATAAATAACCAGATTCAAATATATATATATATATATATAAATCACTGCCAGCCACCACATGATTAATTATCGAAGCATAAGATTAGCGGTCATTATAATGAATGTACAAAACTTTGTTACCTGAACCGGCAGAAGCAAGCATGGCAAGGAAGAATACTCCCTGCAAGTTTGACCAATATAAATATAGGATTAGCCCTCTTTCCCAGGGACGGATCCTTTTGAATATCAGAAAACTCAGATAACATACTAGAATATAAAATTTGAGGGAAGCAATCAGATTGCATATACAAAATTACCAAAAGGACGAGGCCTATGGATAACAGGGGAGAGGATCTTGATTTTGAGTGTAAGAATCCTGAAACGAGCATGCTTTCACCACGTCGTGCGGAGCTTACTTGCCTCCTCAACATGATGGCTTCTCTAGAAGTGATGCACCCAAAACTATAAAACGGGTTGAAAGAATAAAGTAGGAGATCAGACGGATGACTGAAGAACTTCTACAGAGTACAAACTGAAAAAAATTTTATGCTTACATTTTAAATTTAAAATCTTCTGATGGAATAGTTGGAAGTGATGTAAAATCTAAGAATTTCATTCATCACAAGAAATGACCCCAGCTAGAATTTTTCAGGCGCGTCACATATTTGACGCTAATGCCGTCAAGACACTCAATCGAAACGAGTCTGGCGCACGTAAAATCGTTTGTTTCATCAAACAATAATAATTGATTTTTTCAGCTCAGGCGCGCACTGAATACAGCTCGGCCTTGCGCCGAACATGGGTTGGCAAGGGAGACACAGGGAAGAGGAAAAGACCGAAACAGAAGCCGAGTGAAATAACATAGAATCCATCTTCAAAATATTGAAGATTGTGTTTTTCTTCAGAACTATATCATTGACACAGTTTGTGTGTGCAGTGTTGTGTCTCGTTTTATTCATCCTTTTTTTTTTTTTTTAAGAAGTTCACCGCGCCAATTTGGTGGTTGTTCCATAGGTCCTTAGCTTTTTCAGCACCTCTTGGCTTAATGATAGCAAGAATTCAGTGATTTCATTACAAATGGATGCAACTATGAATTTAGCAATTTGATATTATGCGAAGGCACACCGACACAAGCAGACGAGCACAAGCGGTGTGACAGTATTATGTAGATGCTTGCTTTCCCTTTAAGTTCATTCCATGAACAGGAACTTGATTGGTTTTTCGCCCCAACTAACTTGTATAAGCAAGGAAAGATATTGTAAATATAGCACTAGCCAAAAAAAAAAATAAAACAGGATTCAATAATCCGAAGTTAAAGAGAATTGCATAACGAAACACTACGGGAAGCAGAGGCTGAAGAGGGATCAAGTCATTACGAATATATTGTTCAGCATAGCTGCAAGTAGTGATAGAAGCACTACACCATATCGATCTAAACTCGCAATTGCATAATTTACCACATGCAATGGACAGAACGATCTGCAGGAAGAAAATGAAAAATGTAAACTAAAATGAGAGGATAATAGACAAACCTGATCAGAAGTGAATGGCGGAAACAAGATGGGAGAGAGGAGGATTGAAGTTGAGAAGTAAGGCAGATCAGAAACCGCGAATGTGTGGATCTTTAGATCTGCTATGCACGCCGAAACCTGAAGATCTTATTATGGTTTCTTTCAAAGTGGATGTGCTTCCCACTCTGGCCGCGGTGGCAAAATCGCGCGCTCTTCCGCAAACAATATCGTTGAGCAGCTTTGAGTAACAAAAATAATTTATATTTATAATGACAAATTGACAATCTTCGGCGGTCGGCAGTGGGTGACTGGGTCCCACCTTTCTTTCTTTTTTTCCCTTAAGTTCTTGGTTTTTACCATTTTGGACAACTCCATGTCTGGAATCTGGAGTCTGGACCCCAAATTCAACTCTCACAATTTGACTTCAACCAGTTTTCATTTTATCCTATATATTGCAAACATCTGAGTGATAGAGTTTTGACAAATACATTACTTTTTTATTTATTACAATAAAAAAACGTTTCATGATCAAATTAAATATTTTTTTGGATTTTATTAGGATCATATCAATTTCATTATATTATTAAAATTAGTGCAATTCTTTAATTTCATTAGAATTACAAAGATAACCAAACAAAACTCAATGAATGTCTATATAATTTTTTTGAAAAATAATTGTGTAAATTTTGTAATAAAACATTATATAATTTTAAAAAAATCGACAGAGATTCACATAATATAATTTATTTTTATCAATAACCACAGAATTTCGATCATTCAAAATTATTAACCAAAAAATATATTAAAAATCATCTCCAAGCCTGGGAGTTAGGTAACAAAGTGAATCGTTTGGCATAATGGTATGGTTAATAAATCAATAAACAAATTCCCCATTTGGTTTCTGACTTCCGACATTAGGGGAGGGCGCACAAGATTGTGCATCCTGAACTATCAAGAAGAAAGTGCTAAATCACCTTTCACTACACTTATATTTTCTTGAAGAAGAAAACACATAGAAAAACAGCGCTCCACATCATCTTCAAGATTATATTTTGCTTGCATATATATATATATATATATATACAGTGACGGTGAACAGGTGTTGTTTGCATATTAGATGCCAAAACCGACCCAATTTTCCAGGTCAAAAAAAAAAAAGGCTCAATTCTAAGTGGCTAATGACTCATAAAAGGATGAGAATCACTTCGCTGTCCTCTAAACTATTTTTGGAAATTTCCCGAGTAACCATGCACACATTCTGGGGAATTACTTTTCTCATACGCGTTGGTTAAGAAAGATTAAGAAAACGCTTTTGATCTCCAGCACTTAAAAGGAGATGAACATACAGATATTATTACTACAATAACAATAAATCTTATCTTAAATAAAATTAATTATATAAATTATATGATGTAATTATAATATATCATTTATTAAATTTTTAAAAATATTATTAATTAAGAGGGTTTAATTAATAACTCCTAAAAGTATTTTTTAAAACCTTTTTTTATTTCTTTTAACAGAGTTTAAAATTGCTCAAAATTATCTATTTTACTTTCGAATCCTTTCGTGATTTTCTTTGCACATATAGAGCATCCAATTTTACAATCGGCAACACTGCCTTCCCTTCTGCTATAATTCTTTTACTTCGCCTACAGGGCACCGACTAAAGTCAAATCATTCTGAAATTAAAAGACAATGAAAAGTAGGTTCCAGAAATTCGAATCTGATGTTATTCGGTCCCTTAGTGAAGGAAAAGAAAAGTGTAGAATGCGATTCTCCGTATTCACACATGCTTATGAGTCTTGTGGGGGATCCTTCTTCTGGTATCAAAGTTTATTGGTCACAGTGAAGGCACTGAGGGTCAGGGTCAGATAAGTGAATGGCGGTGGAGTACACATGCTGCGAAACAGGGTTCTTCGTTCGCATCCTAATTGTGACTGTGTTAGTGCTATTTGCTGGGCTGATGTCTGGATTAACTTTAGGCCTCATGTCACTAAGCCTCGTGGAGCTTGAGGTTCTTGCCAAGTCTGGCAAACCTACTGATCGTAAACATGCTGGTAACTGTTTTAATTATCTATTCAGAGCTTAGCTTAAGCTTAAGGTAGGTATGTTCGTGATGATGTTGTAAATTGACTCATGACAAGCTCGATCCCTTGAAACAGCGAAAATATTGCCAGTTGTGAAAAGACAACATTTACTGCTTTGCACACTTCTAATCTGCAATGCAGCAGCAATGGAAGTACTAACTCCTGTTCCTACACATTGATTTAAATCCATGACTTTGGTCCAGAACAAAAGCTCATTTTTTGGGTTTCATTTTCTCAGGCTCTTCCAATTTTTCTGGACAGTCTAGTGACAGCTTGGGGTGCCATTCTTATTTCAGTAACCTTGATACTTATGTTTGGCGAGGTGAGTTAATGTATGAGTCAGATTAATATAAGGAACATGATCAGCTTAGAGGAACTAATAAGGAACATGATCAGCTTAGAGGAACTAAGGTACTTACCATTGGTCACACAGATTATACCCCAAGCTCTCTGTTCGAGGTATGGTTTGGCAATTGGTGCAGCAGTGGCTCCAGTTGTTCGTGTTCTTGTTTGCATTTGTTTCCCCATAGCATATCCAATAAGCAAAGTGAGCATTTGATCTCCAAGCTCGACTAATGCTTCGACTAGTAATAGGTACCAGTGTTAACTGACTATGATTCTGCCAGTTATTAGATTTCTTGCTGGGAAAACAACACCATGCTCTGTTTAGACGAGCTGAATTGAAGACGCTAGTTGATCTGCATAGCAACGAGGTGACTGATTGATCTAGCTCTTTTGTTCAGTCTTCTTGATCATATTGTTATTACAACTGATTGATCTAGCTCGTTCTCTGGGAAACATTCGCAGGCCGGAAAAGGTGGAGAGCTAACACGCGATGAGACAATGATAATTACAGGTGCGCTTCAACTAACAGAGAAAACTGCAAGCGACGTAATGACTCCCATTACTAAAACTTTCTCCCTAGAATTGAATGCCAAGCTGGACAGGTGTGTTTATAACTGTATATGCATACTAGTTGTCACCAATACACACAAACTGACTTACGCACGTACTAGTTATTTGAGGTGGGCGAACACAGAAATGACCTCGATGAATTTGCAACGTAAACATGCAGGGATTTGATGAATTTGATTATAGAGAAAGGCCATAGCAGAGTTCCAGTATATTATGAGAAACCAAGTAACATTATCGGTCTAATATTAGTAAGTGATGGCTAATTGCTTTTGTTTTTAGCCAAGAATTTGTTCTTGTTGAGGGTTTGTAATTATTACATTAGTAAATATATCTGAATCCCTCTTATTTTTATGAATAATAGGTGAAGAATCTATTAACTATCAATCCAGAAAACGAAATGCAAGTAAAGAACATCACCATCCGCAAGATTCCAAGGTATCATAGTTACCTCAATTGATGGCATACCATCAATCGTCTTCATAAAGACTAGTGTACCAATCTAGTGGAAGCCTGATGGCATCTGTTAAATGAAGGACCAGAGGGCCACAAGGACCCCTAAACCTAAACAAATACAAAATTAACCCCAAATGAATAGTTGCTCTGATATCTTTGTCATATAATAATATGTATTATGTGACGTTGGTTTGATTAACCCATATAAGCTGCTAACCAGGGTCTCCGAAACAATGCCATTGTATGACCTACTAAATGAGTTTCAGAAAGGCCATAGCCACATGGCTGCAGTTGTAAAACATTTTGGTGATGCAAATTTGTCAGCCAATGAAAGTCCAATACAAGGTAAAGCGTTGGTCCCCCCCTATTTTATATGCTATGCTCTATTGTTTTCCCCTTCGTAGTTCATTCGGGAATTGGAGCCCATGGCTGATTTCAATCACATGAGAATGTATAAACTCAGTGAGAGAAGTTAGAGTGGATATTTATGGCGAAAGGAGTACACGACAGAAGAGTTTGAAGAGCAAAGGATCACTCAAGAAGTTTAAGTGCTTACCAAACGAGGCAAATGCAAGTACAAAAGGCAAGAGATGGTCGAACAGCTGCCACTCCGAGGTGCTTCAAATCAACGACGAACCACTGCAAAATCTCTCTCCAGAGGGGGAAGCTGTTGGCATTGTTACTCTCGAGGATGTCATTGAGGAGCTATTACAGGTAGGAGGGGAATTTTCTTCCACTCTTGTTTATTTCTTTTGTTGTAGCCAGCAGAAGATTTACCCATCTTTTGGATTAATTTATGTAGGAGGAAATCTATGATGAAACAGATCATCGAGATGTTAGCTGATTATCAAAGTACAAGACATGCAATAAATTTACCCGTTGACTGCTCGGCAATGTAAAATTGCGAGTGAACTAGACCTGCTATTTGGTTTTAAACTGTATTGAACATAAGGTTAGATCGCACAGCAGCATTTTAGAACATTGGTTGGTACTACCATTGAAATTGATGCACTTTTGATTCGTATAAACACAATTAAGTATTAGCCTAGTTTAACTTTTTGGTGACAAAAATTCGTGAACTAAACAATCTAAATGTAAACCATCCGTCAATTGGTTGAATGTCATGTGCTTTACCCCAAGTTTGAAAGAAAAACAAAATGGGATGAAGGATTTCAGGAGAAACACTAAGCCGCAACCACCTCAAGCGGGGTGAGGTTGCCAAAATGCGGATGGCACAAGGGCACTTGCGATTGGTATTCTATGAAACTTGTTGGAAGTCTGCTTTTATATTTCTTACAAGGAATATTATCTGAACCTCATCATTTAATCGTCCATCACAACTCTGATATGCTTGATACAAGATCCAGCATTCAAGGGTCAAAACAAAACTAGATGTATGCTAATAAAATAAGCCCACAGCCGATTAGATATTTTAGAATTCCATTTTAGCAGCACGACGTGGTAATTTTAGTACAAAGTATTGTATTATCATAATGGAAGATAGGGAGAGGTAGAGCGATAGAGAAATAGAGAAAGAGAATAAAGAGGCACAGGGAAATGGAAAAGTAAATAATTCACTGAATGGTCAATAACAACTGAATTCATTACTCAATGTTCTATTTATAAGGTAGCATCGACTAACATAACTACCTACCCCATGTATATTTCTGTGCATATTTATACAACACGAAGCATTTCAGCTGATAGTCTATATCATAAAAAAGAGCAAAATTATTCCTCTCATGGGCATTGTTTAAAATAAGGCTCATTCTAGTGACGTATATCCTCCCCTTCAATTACTTATGGCAACTATCAGCAAGTGGCAAATCTCTGATGAATACGTACTGATGTCCACTTTATTCACAGTCCACGCTATCCATAGTGTTGTTATTGAGCTAAAGAAGACAACCATGAGCACTGCCTACCGCTGTCAACACTCAGCATGGACAATTAAATAATTTCAATCCTCTCATCATATGAAGATCATGTTGGGGAGATAAAGACAAAATAAAATATTAGAAAAATGAGTTTTAAGTTATTAGAAGAAGAACTGCATACTCCTCGTTCTTTAAACGATAGTCATGAATCATAAGAGGATTTAAATCAATTTTAGTCACCAACAAAAACCCAACTTGCTACTGAGAAGAGTAAACACACCAAAAACCTGGAACCAAATAACAGTACCAAGAACTTTCTAACAATTAGGATCATGAAAATAAAAACCAATTTTGTATGAAAAGCAAGCACACTATTACTATAAATTTTAATGAATATCATTAAAAGCTACCCAAGTAACATTACAAGTTTATAACTTACGGAGAAAATGCCTGAACTGCTATTCCAATGTCATCCAACGATGTCTCCTTGGGTAGAAGCCAATGATATTAGGCTATTCCCATAACGTGCAGGCTGAAAACCAGACTCCTCCAAGAAATCTTAAGACTTCACGTCAACATTCTCTCCCATGATTACAAGGCATTAGTGCCTTGTTTGGTATGGTGAAAATTATTTTTCTGAAAATGGAAATAGATATGGAAGTGAAGATGGATATGAAAATGAAGATGAATATGAAATTTAAAAATATGTTTGGCATGTTTATGGAATTGAGAGATTATTTTTATTCAATATTAATGTTAAAAATAATAAAAGACTAAAATGCCCTCATAAAAAAAATTCCCAGCAAATCGAAGAAAGGACCACCCTTGTAACCCAGATTGAAACAAAATCAGATGCCATATACAAAAATCGCAACCCAGATCAAAGTAGAAATCAAGCATAAGGTGACAATTCGTTTACTTCAAGCATTTTGTTTCTGTAGAAATTGAAGATCCCTTTGAACGCTTTAGAAGAGCATAAGACAAAAGAGATGCAGAAGGAAAAAATTTTCCTTCCTCTTAACAATTTCATTTCTGCAAAAATTTTAGGTCCCTTTAAATGATTTGGAAGAGCATAAGGCGGGAGAGATGCTAAAGGTAAAATTTTTCCTTCCTCTAAATGATTTCATTTCTGCAGAAATTGAAGGTCCTTCGTCATCACTGTTCAAGAAGAAAAAATCATGAAGACGAAGCATAAGATGGCAGAGATGCAAGCCCTGGATTCCTCCTCTCTAGTCTCTTCACCGGGAATGTATGTGGAGCTGGATCGATGAATACTGATTGGGATGAGTTCAGAGAAACAGTCATGGGGTTGGGGGTTTGTCAAAGGACGAGAAAAAAATATCAACCCAGCACTGAAATTAATGGAAGCAGAAAAGGAAGTCATTAAAATGAAACTAGACACAATCACTGCTTTTTGATCTCTTCGCCGATGACAATGATGGAGACGATGTCAAAGACAGTTCTGTCGAAAATGGTAGTGGGGTTGGTCGAAAATGGGAGGGACAAATACGTCTAAAAATTTCATTAATGGGGGCATAATTGTCTGAAATAGTATAATTCCATGGAGCTTATCTCATTTCCATGGGTCTCCTCATGGAACCCAATTCAATCATTTTTTATGGAATTCAATTCCATATGGAAACTAAATTCATGCATACCAAACACACATTTTTTCCAATTCCATATCCAATTCCAATTCCATACCCCAAATTCCAGGATACCAAACGGGACCTAGATTTTCGACGTCCTCTGCCGGCATCTTCTAGCCCTCCTCTTCCTCCCATCCTTTTTCTCCTTTTCCTTTTCTTTCAACTCCCTCTCTCCTCGTCGCTTATACATCTTAAAAGTGACCTGCCTATCAGCAGCCATCTTCCTCACCTTCTCTGTGATCTCTGCAGCAAGTTGCCTGTTATACAGTTTCCTCAAGCCACGCATAAGCCTTGCAAAAGTATCTGGCTGTGGCATTAACCCTGAATCCATCATGTCCAAACAATAAGAACAAGCCTCCTTTACATGTCCTTTTGAAAAAAGTGCATGAACCCAAATTGTCCAAGCACTCACATTAAGTTCACACCCTTTAGTCGTGATACAATTCCAAACATCTTTGGCCATTTCAAGCTTCTCAGCTCTAAGTAGAGAATTCATCAACTCTTTTAAAGTACCATAGTGAGGAGCAGCAAAAAGGCCTCTCCCAGCCATCTCTTTGAAATGCTCACAGGCTTCAACTAAGCAACCTTGCTCAAGAAAACCATGAATCATAATGACAAAGGTGTCAAGCCCTGGACTAAGCCCACTTGCTTCCATTTCATTCCAAAGCTGAGCACCCTCTTTAACGTCTCCTAACTTGCACGCCAGCCTAATGACCGTATTGTAGATTTTAAGGTCAGGTGTACAACCAATCTTCTGCATCTCCTTTACAAGTTCCATACACTCTTCCAGCTCTTCCTTCTTTTCATGAGCAGACATAATGTGCAGATAAGTCAGCTGATTTGGAGCATGGCCTTGCTGTATCATCTGATCCAAAAGCTCATAACCCTTCCCAATTTTTCCCCACTTGCAAAACCCACTTATCAATGTGGTATAGGTCACAACATCGACCTCACAGCCACTTCTCTGCATTTCAATAAAAACCCGCATTGCCTGTTCCAGATTTTCCTGTTTACAGAGTGCTTGAATCAAAATTGTGTATGACGTTGCATTTGGTTCACAGCCTTTACTTTTCATTTCTTTCAAAAGATCATAAGCATCTCCCATTTTTCCAGCTTGAGCATACCCACTAAGCAAATTGTTATAAACCACTACATCCAATTTAATCCCTGCATCCTTCATCTGCACCAACACATGTTTTGCTTCCATAAGCTTCCCTTCTCTACACCAACCATATAACAATGAAGTAAAATGCTTTGCTGTTGGTGTAAATCGAAATCTCATGTCCTCAAAAAGTGAAGCTGCTTCCTTAACGTTACCATTTTTGCACAATGCATCTAGCAAGCACCCAAAAACATATTCATCTGGCTCGCACCCATATTTGGGCATTTCATCTAATACTTCAATAGCCTTCTGAACCATCCTCGCAGAAGCAAACCGCCTCATCAAAATAACAAACACCTCAGGAGAAATTAATTGTGGGTTCTCCTTTCTCATTTCTTCAACAAGAGCCCAAACAGCACCAAATTGCCGCATTTTCCCCAAAACCTTAATCATAGCCTTGTACACCTCGTGACTGTGCTGATAGCCTGATTGTTTTGAAGCCCACACAAAGAATCTATATGCCAAATTCCCAGCATCACCACAGCGGTTCAATACACGCTCAGTTAAGCCAGACCGCACAACAACTCCTGATTCCTGCAATGCAAGCTCCAATTTGGGAACCCTGGAGTGGAACTTTCTCAATATTCTATAAATTTTTTCAACATCAGAAGCAAACTCATCATGGTTTTGGTCACTTGTATTACCTTCTGAACTAGCATCAAGATGAACAAGGCCAAACTGACTTGTTCCAACATAGGATGTTAAATTGCTATCACTGCTCTCAGATCCCAATGACTTGTGGTTAGCATGTGATTGTGAAGAATTTCGAAAAGAACTCACACCAAAGCCAGTAGAAGAGAGCAGAGCTACAATATCTCCTTGTCCAATCATTGATGGTATTCTCAAAGGAAGCAGGAGATGATTACGAGGGTATAAGAAAAACATACTTCTCAATGAAAATCTCTGCATTTTCTCTGATGTTGCTGCTTTTGTAGTATATGCTAGAATTCAAACTTCATTCTACCCTTTGTTTTCAAGCATGTTCCTGCAAGTCCAAGAACAGCGCATTTTAATTTCTCTGACAATGGCATAAAATTTAGAAAACAAAATTTAATATTTATACATATAACACATGATGTCTACTTCAACTTTTATATATATTAAGAGCATTATATATATATATTGTAACACCTAGGTAACTTAGTGTGACTAGCAAGAAGTACAAAATAAACCTCACTCCATAAGCCCTAAATATTAAAATTGATCAGCACACAATTTCAAAATTACAAATAATTGATGGAGACGACTTTACTTGAATAAAATCAAATGATTTATTCATATTCATTATGCTTTATAGAAATTTGGCAAAGTCTCCCTTAACCATTAGACCTCCCAACATATCGACAACAATCAATGATCAACTGATACAAAATAGTAGAGCTCCACTCTCGATCTATGCATAAAATACATAAAGAAGGTGGGGATCCTGCCAATGAGTTAAGTGGAGTTACATCCAAGGCTAGAACGCAACGATGAATCGCAATAAATCAAAACACTTTGCCCACATGAACCATGCAGGTTCTTAAGGTAGCATGCTTATCCACTCTACAATGTAAAGGAAAGGCAAGGTCAACTCTACCATCTAAAATAGCAAATAATTTAGTAAGTAGATGATATCCCACAAAATATCCTCTTAATGAAGAGTGAACTGGTTCTTTGATCACAAATTTAAATCCTATGGAATCGCATTTAATCACCTGGAGTTAGAGAATCATACCTTAGTAAATAAATCTATAAGAACATCAATTAAAGATGTGTACTAATAATTTTCTACTGTTATAACGACAACAAAATGATGAGAAGAAATAAAAAGAATAGGTATAGAATAAATACAAAAAATATCAAATACAATTCATATTAAAGATTCTTTTACACAATCGAGAGAGATATTTAGAGAACTCATTTGGGGAAAAATCATTTCATCAGTAAGAACGTTAACAGAACAAAATAACTGCTGCGAGCACAGAGCACATCAGTACACACAAATCTGTTGTCTATACTAGCCTCAAACACTAGTGCAAGGGTGAGACCGGTGAGTGAGGTTTCTTTTTTCTTTTTTTTTTTTCCTTGTTCTTTCTTCCTGTTCCACTGAGGCAGACAGCTAGGCTGTGTTTCCTGGGTTAAACTTATCAACCTATGAGTTTGCTTGTTTAATCCTAGTTTTGTCTTTAAACTTCATATTTCATAGCCTTTAATAATACAATGGTGAAGTTTCCAACATGATGCAACTAGAATATCATACTTTCCTGAACACTTGTTCAACCACACGTCAAAAAGGAAAAGACAAAAGTTCCTTTCCTAGTCAATGCAAAACTCAATTTCTGCTCAAACCTTCCCTTAAATTCTTTTTTCACTCATTATATGCTATAATTCTTCATTCCAAAGCCACTCATTCAAATCAACAAGATTCAATAATTTTCCAATAGAAAAGTTACACCCTACATTCATAAGCAAGCCCTCAAAACAATACATATCATTAAATCTAGGCATTACTCTTATGTTCAATACAAATTGTTCTCAATTCCGTACGCACAGCCTTTACTTAGCATAATCTAATTTAAATAGCTAGATTCTTTAGCTAAAATTTCCAATGAAGCTTGAAGACCAGACTTCTAACAATTATGTGCTAATATAACAATTATGTGCTAACAATGAAGTTTGAATGTCTCATGGATCAAAGTCTAAACAAGGTTGCAACTATCATGACTAGCCACTAACTATAGCTGTAGTGGCTCTTCTAAATTTCGAGCATTTTATCAAACATTTGGTATTCACTTAGAAGGGTTATCATGGAACAAGCATTCTAGCATGTAAACCATTTGCTCCAAACACAAACAAACATGAAACCAGCCCCGCCAAACCTATAAAACAACCATTTCCCACTAGAACAACTGAAATTCCCAAAATCGCAATTTATGACAGCTTGAGAAAAGAAGTAATAGGAGAGCACGGCTTCGGCCATCCATGCGAATGCTAAGCAGAAAATTAATGATGAAAATACCTAACACAACGAATCCTGATTCGTTCCATTTTCGACCAACAAGCAGTTCAATCTACTCCCATGTTCACAAGAGCGAAATGGTGAAAATAGTTAGACCAAGGAAGGAGTTGGCGAGGTGATTTGGGATCCTTTCAGCTTTCTGCAGAGCCACTCCTGGATTTCCGAACCCCAGACCCACGCACTGAGCGTAACTCCTCTCCCCGAGGAAAGAGAGAATGCTATGGGATTTCACAATGATCTAGGATTTTGCTCAGTACGTAACTGAAGCTGAATTGGCAGCGCCATCAGCAGATCCGGAAACTCTCAATGGCCCACTTCTACGCGTCCCTACGCATGTGCGAATCCCACCCGTTCAATTGATCTGAGCGTTCAGAAAGAGACACCCCTTTTAAAATTGCATCTTCAATATCAACGTTTATTTTGAGGTTTACTCAATCGTGAATTAGGTTTATTGTGACATTGTTGCAAACTTCGTAAATTAGGTATCTACACCACTCTCTTCTTCCATATTCTTCGGACTTCATTTTCTTCCATACTCTCTAACATCCATATTCATTGCTTGCTAAGTCCAAACTCCAAAGCAAGAGCTCCTGCCTCCTGCTCGCACGTGAAATTTTTAGGTAACATCTACAATCTATTCTCTCTTTCAAGTCACTTTTTATTTTCTATGTTTTCTGGTTATTGTATTTGATTTGGATTATGATATACTTCTGTGATTCAATTTCATTGGAGGTCGAGTTGTTTATGGCTTGTGGAAGTCAATATTTTTTTGATATATTGAGAATAAATAATTGTTTTGGTTTAACTCAACAATGCTTCCTAGATTCAGAAAAGAATAAGCCCCTTATCATTGCATAAATGAGGGGTCATATTATCTATTTTTCATATGATATAATATGAGAGTGAGATGTAATCCAAATTAATGACTTCAAATAATTTAGATTTTGGGAGGGAAAGAATAGAACTGGAGCTTAAAAAGGAATGGTGACTAAACAAAATTTGTTGTTACATTGAACTTGCTGTCGCATTAAACAAACTTGCTGCAATACCTCAATCTTGTTGATAATATGCATGATAACTTAGGAATGTTTTCCCAATTTTTTGGATGGAATTGTCTTCAATTTATTGGACCTGTTTGTATAGTTAAGATCTGGTCAGGTGCCGGTTGGCCTTGTGCCACAGAGGCACTCCTCCTAACACAGGGAGGATGCGCATTCAAGCTCAGAGTGGACAATTGTGGTGGGCAGGTGAGTTTTCATCATTTAAACAAAAAGTATAAGTGACTCGATTTTACTTATATAAGGTCTTGAGTTTGAGTTTTGTATATGTAAAAAATTACTGATGGGAGACTCACCCACCAAAGTTAAGTGCGCGATGTGGGTCGAATTTAAATGTAATTGAGCCAAAGCTCTGATGAACCAGGTGAATAACCAAAAAAAAAAAAAAGGAGTATAAGCATGGGTGAATATAGTACTAGAAATATAGGTTGTGAGCTAGCCATTTTATAGGTTGGGCTGGGTTGAGCTAGCTCGTCAAAACAATTAACCAACTGAAAAATCTAACCCAACTTATATATATAAGTGAGTTGATCGGTAGCAGGCCGGCCTACAAAAACAATTATGTGTTTCTTTTTTTCACAAAATGTTAACTAGGTACTAATTGAGGTCACATTCCATGGCCCAAAATTGCATTCAGGTTAAGTCATCCAATAATTAAATATTATGCGAGCTACCACCTACTCGTGCTTCTTATTTATTTTAATTTTTTGGGTAAACTTGTGCTTTTTATTATTATTGACTTAAAATCACAATGTCAATATTTGTATGGAAATTTACACACTATTTTTTCTAGTAGAAAAGGCACTTCATTCAAATAACCAAATCAAACACTAGTACAAATAGAACAAGTCTGTAGGGCCAAAAAAAAAACAAACAAACAAACAGCAAAGCAAAGACGAAACTATACCAGTAAAAAAACTAAAAATATAATAAAATCAAACAACACCAGCAAAAATTACCCTCTATTTGACATCAACACTAAATTAACTAATTAAGATTATGAGATTTTAAACAAATTTAAATCAAAACCTACCAAATAAACAACATGAAAGTCAGAATCCCAATCTTAAATTGTTAAGACTCGCACAATGAAATCAATAAAACAACGCATTCTCCCATCAGGTAAATGACTTGCATAATTCTCAAATTCAATAATTAGAATAAGAAATGATGTCACCAAAATTAATAAAAATTAAATTTTATATAAAATATGACTTGGATAGTCTCCTTAAGAGTTAATGAATTAATTTTTTAAATTAAAATTATGAAAAGGTAAATATGAGAGGGATTTTTTGATGAGGAAATCAATTTAAAGAACTAAATTAAAATTACATAAATAAAGCAAGTTCATTCGAAAAAATTACCAAATACAAACAATGCAATCAATTACAATTTAATTACCTAAACTTAATCTTCCTCATTCACAAAATAAATTAATTTTATTTAAATTTATTATTCTAATTTTATTATATATTTTTCAAATTATCATTCAAGAATTAACAAAAAATTAAGTCATGAAGTAATTGAAATCTCCTTAATCTACAACCTAATAATTGTTTCTATATTAATCACACTAAAAATAAAGTATGAATAATCACACAAATCAAATCAAATTGTTCTTATATTACTATATCAATCGATTATATAAAAAAATTTTAGATAAAACATATAACCCAAAAATTATATAATAAAGTTAGTTTAATCAACAATAACTATTAAAACATACAAGTTAGAGGTAGAGAGAAGAAGAGCAAATTAAAATAAAATTAAAATAAAAATTTTTTTAATATTAAATACCCTAATTAAAATTTAGGATTATAATTTATAATTAATTACAGTAAAAAAATTAATTTTCCACTTGAGACTTATAAATCACAAGAATTAAAAATGATATAATTTTCGCACGCCCGTCCGCTACCTCTGTTCCTTCTTTTTCTATGCCCAAGGTGATGGGTCTCCTTTTATTCAATTTTCAGTGCGCGGCCAATCGTGCGCTTCCGACAAAAACCTAATAATTTATTGAAAAATAAAACTATTCTTAATAATCTTAATTAAAAATTCAAAATAAACATAAATAAAATATATAAAAATTAATTCTCAATTTAATTTTCAAACATCTCCATATTTTTTATTAAAAATAATTTCTATTAATATTTTTTAAATTAAATTCAAAAAATCTGTATACATAAAATAAAATTAATTGGAAAACATGTAAAAATATTATTTATATGTAAAATTTAAGATTTAATTATTTTAAAATTTTAAAATTAAAATTAATTAATAAAATAAAATAATATTTAATCAAATGTAATTAATCTTAAATAAATATTTAAAAATTTAAATTAAAAGAATAAAAGTATATAAAATAAAGGAGCTCATTTCGACTTTACCACAGTCATCACACTTCATAGAGAGAGAATCAGAGACGATACGAGGTTGAGGACCTTGAGGTTCTTCAATAGATTGGAGTGAAGTGAAGCACCCAGCCACCCACATACAAGAAGGTTGAGGATCCGCGCTTGATTTGAGAAGGAGACTCAATCTTTAAATTGTTGTCTGGCCGAGCTTGATGGAGCTTCAAAGAGGCGACAGCAAAGAGGCCGCGCCTGCAACAGTGGATTTAAACGACGCAGCAGTGTCACACTGTCACAGTAATGAGGAGAAAATCGCAAGCGATTCGAAGACAAAGCTGAAGTCAGGCGAGAGCAAGCTGAGCAGAGATGAAGGTGAAGTCAGGAGAGAGTGAGCTGAGCAGAGACGAAGGAGATGATGAGAAGCGAGAGCGAGTTGAGCGATTCTGGTTCTGGCATCCTTCAGGCAATGTTTGGCATACTGAAATTGTGAGAAGGGAAATGGAATCAGATATGAAATTGTCTAATTCACTTATTTGATATTAACTGCTTTTTGAAGGAATCTATTTCATCAAAATTGATGAAATCTAATTTCATTATAAAAATTATAAAATTCACCAATTTAACGTAAAATTAATTCATATGTCATTAAAAAATAAAATAAAAAATATTTTATACTTTAAAAGTAAATTCTTTATTTTTTTAATGTTAAATTTTTCATTAAAAAAATAATGGTTATTTTAATTTTTTTATTTTAAATATATATACTTATTAAAATTATATCATAATTTTATTTTGATACCAAACACACTTTTAAAATTCAATTTAATTTCAATTCTAATTTCAATTTCAATTTCAATTTTAATTTTAATTTTATTAAAAATTCTTTTATCATATCAAACGAGACTTTAGGATTAGTGATTTTGAGAGTGAGAAAGTGAGGTGACTTGGTTTGGATTTGGACTGGATAATTTAGAATGGATTTGGTGGTCACTTCCTTTTAGTAAATAAAAAAGAAAAAGAAAAAGAGAAAGGGGTAGGAGAAGTTCAGTCTCACCATCTCAAGTCTTAGCACATTAAATTAAAAAAAACAATGGGACAACTTATGAGCTAACCTGTTTAGTTGATATACCTTCACGCATTGAGTTAATACAGTTTTTTTTTTAAATAGAATCATTTTGTCAACCCAAACAACAAAAAATGATGGGTTAATGGACTAACCTATCAGGTTGAGCCTGTTTTCACGATTCTAGGTGGAAGAATGAATATTATTAGGTAATTATCTCTTGCTTGAAAAAAAGATCTAATCAATTTTTTCCTAATATACTTCTTTAAGTTTAGGCTCCTGATGAGCATGTGACATTATCAAATGCTAAGCTAGTGTTGTGTTATGTTGTGTTTGGTTTAATGGAGGGGAAGGAGGGAGAGGAAAATGTAATGTTTTTGTGTTACTTCATTTGGATTTATTGAAGAGGGGATAAGTTTGTAATGATTATTTGTTTAATTTAGGAAAGGGAGGGTGGGGAGGTAAGAGTTAATTTACCATTATACCCTTATATGAAATATATATATATATATATATATATATTTTACCTCTTCTCACATAAGTCAAATTTACATCTAAACTCAAATTTCATAAATTCTAAGAAACTTCTCTAATCTTAACATATTGTTCATATGTGCATTAAAAAATTGATATAAGTTTTTATTAAAAAACCTGTATACAGACAAACAACTAAATTGTATATATGCAAGTTCATGTTCATCTCCACTAGTCCCCTGTCTACTCCATATAATATTCATATGTCATGAACATAGATAGTTTAATTCACTCTAAAATTCAAGCATCACAAGGGACTTACATCTATTTAAGAAAAATATCATACCTGAAGGACC